ATTGCTTAGAGAAACTTTAAGTCGGGACTTGTGTTGGACACAATCTCCTTAAAGTAGATTTCGCCCTCAAGAATTATTGGTGTCTACTTCCCAAGATGCAATGACTAATACTTGATTTGCAACACTTTAAACTTAAGTTTGGCAAACCAAAACTATGCTGCAACTCTCTCTTTCTCTTCTTAAGTTTAAATGCTGGACAGATGCAGAAGACAGGAGGATGAAAAGAGGAAGAAAAAGGAAGAAATGTTGAAGAAAATTGGATGGATTGAAATGTTGGAACGGTAGGCTATTTATAGCCAACCATGCACCTGTTCGGGTAGGCCTTGGTGCTGTTTAGACATGGCCGGAAGATACAACTGGAATAGTACCGGTTTGGAAATGAGGCGAACTGAAAATTCAAATTTTTGAAAATTTGGCGCAAAATTATTATTATTTCCGTAAGGAAAAAAAAATTCTTGCAAGAATTTGAAAAAATTCGAATGAATTTTCTCCAAAAAATTAATGTTAGGACTCGACCGGACCCATAACCCACACCACGCACCTGTGCCCAATTTGGCTCAGCCGCCCAGTCGGACGGACAACGTCGGCAGCGTGCACGCGTGTGTGATGGTTTTGGGGCAAGCCCACTTTGTATATAACTCCCCTCTTCATAAAACGTGGGGTGCCCCTTGGGGCCCATCCCAACTATGGCAAGTTAGAGTATATGTACTCATATAAATCCTTAAACCTTTCCTATATGGGATAAGCACATTTCACAAATGTGTAGGAAACCCACCTAAAGCCATTTCCACGAACTCAAAAAGGCACGTTGAATTCTCATTCATCCGGAAATGGTTTTGAGCAACGAAATACATGATGATATTCACTACGCGTCATTAAACATGAACCCAATTAGAAACATTAAAAATAATGCTTGGGTCCTACCTTAATTAATGCTCAAAGTTAGCAAAAAAATAAGATATTACAAAGCCATTTTCCAACAATCCCCCACATAAATGGAATTCACTGTAACGGACATTCAACAAAATGCAGACAAAGAAAGAGTTTATTAAGAAGACACACCACATCGAGATAGGTAGCTTTTGGCTTTGAACCTCCTCTAGTGAAAGTCTAACGGACTTACTAGCTAACCTGTGGACGCGATGGCTTGAACTGTTCAGCTAATTGTGTAAGCCATGACAATAGGTTACACATATAGTGTATTGGCAGAGAGTTTGGTTCTCACGGCTATGTTCATTTTGGCCTTGAACAACACTTGGCAATTCATGAGTACTCTAGAGAATTTAGCCTTCTCAATTCTCACAGAACCGGCCCAGTTCACACTCATATAGGTGACTTCATATTAAGAGTATCCTGCCATACCCCACTTGGATGTCCAAGCTATAAGAATCATTAAAAGCAAACCTTATCCTATTAACACTGTAGGTATCACTCTCCTTATCATAGAAATGGATAGGAATAAACCTCCTTAGTGTACGTGAAGTCATCCATAATGTTACGACACAACCCCAGGGGCTTAGGGTTAGAATCGCAACTTACTAAATAATTTCTAATCGTAACAAATTAAGTGGCAGGCGGAGGCAAAATGGAAGTAAGAAAATAATTAAACAGAAAATTAACTCCATTCAACTATTTCGATAAAAGAAAATACATCTATAGGATTTTTATTTATTTTTTTATTCAGTGACCGGCCCTCAGTAAAAACAAAACAAGAGGAACAAAAAGAAAGAAAAACAAAATAACGGATCAACATCAAATTCTTGTACGGGGTCCACTACACGAGGTTACAGGTTTTTCTTACATCTCATTACCTGAAAGGGTAATAGCTATAAGCACACAACAGAGTGAGAAATATTATGCCAAGAGTATAGGGAACACAAAATAATCATAGATAGTTAGTTAAGCTAAAACATTTACATAACTTAATTTGAATAAACAAATTATTCAAAGTGGAAGAAATTGAAATACAAAAATTATATAAATAAATAACCATAACCACGGTACAGAACAGAACAGAGGTCAATGAATCCATGACAAACAGAGGACCACAAAGTAGCCAAACAGTGGCTAATGGTTATTTAACTCCCCCAAGGCATGAGACTCCCGTGGTGGTACTTACAAAACACACTACAACAAAATGCACATTTGGCGACCAAAATTAGCGAGTAAAAAAAATTCAGTCGCCAAAAGTAATGGAATTGGCGACTAACATTTTTTTTAGTCACCAAAAGTAAAATATTTAGCTACTAATTTTTTTTTTAGTTGGGGTATATTCATTATTGGTGACTAAAAAAAATTTAGTCGCTAAAAATGCCAGAATTGGCGATAAAAAAAAAAAACTTAGTCGCTGTATATTGACTTTTGGCTACTAAAATATTTAGTCGCCAAATGGGAAATAAAAAAATTATTTTTTCTTTTTGGAGACTAAAGTTTTAGTCGCCAAAATCTTACTTTTAGCGACAAAAAAAAAATAGTTGCCATATATTGAGTTTTGGCTACTAAAATATTTAGTCGCCGAATGGGAAATAAAAAATTATTTTTTCTCTTTGGCGACTAAAGTTTTAGTTGCCAAAATCTTACTTTCAGCAACAAAAATAAATAAATAAATTGTCACCGTATATTGACTTTTGGCTACTAAAATATTTAGTCGCCGAATGGAAACTAAAAAAATTATTTTTCCTCTTTGGCGAGTAAAGTTTTAGTCGCCAAAAACTTACTTTCAGTGACAAAAAAAAATTTAGTCGCCATATATTGATTTTTGGCTACTAAAACATTTAGTTGTCGAGTGGAAAATAAAAAAAATTATTTTTTCTCTTTGGTGACTAAAGTTTTAGTCGCCAAAAACTTACTTGCAGCGACAAAAAATTATTTTACTCGCCAAATAATTTTTTTTTTTTTTTTATATCTTTGGTAACCTATCTTCAGCGACTAAAATTTAGTCGCGGATGTGTTGAAAATTTTTCTGGGAAATATTTCATATTGGAGCCTAAATTTTTGCCCAAATCTATTACTTCTTCAGACGGTTCTTTCTTTCTCTTGCTGTCCCTCTGTCTGTCTCTGTCACACAGAGAATCAATCACCACCGCCCTTCATCTCAGCATCGCACACAACCAGTGTCCATCAATTTTCCACTGTCGAACATCGCCACTGTAGCTCACCGGCCTTCTCTTCTCTTTCGTCTCCGAGAACCGTGACACTCGTTGGTTCTGGGCCAGCTCCAAAACCCCTTTCCAATGGCTCCTCTGTTTCCCCCGCAGCACCCGCCCTTTCGGCCGTGTCTTCCTCTGGTCCTACCTCTTCTATCTCTCCCGCTTCCTCCACACTTTCCATACCTTCTTCTCCATCCTCTGCGGCCGCCACCTTTCCTTCTTCTGCCTCTTCAACCACTCAATTCTCATCTTCATGTCTTTCCTCTGGCTCGAATTCTCTCAATATTTTCAAGTTCTTGCCATTCTCATTGCCACCTCTGTTTACTCTCTTGTTTAGGGCTACAGATTTTGGACTGCCATTGGTTTGCCCGGTGCTTGTTTCCCCTTTGTGGTCATTTGTCAGATTGTTCTTCTCGGTTGTAATGTTTTGTGCCACGTGGGTGTGCTTTTGCTTCATTTTTTGAAAGGTGGGTGTAATGGAATTGCGGATTGGGGCTTCAATTCGGTTCTTGAATGCCTTTTTTTTTTTAATTGTTAAATTGGGAATTCTTTTGGTGCAGCAACAATGCCATGAGCTTATGGACAAAAATAAAAGGCAAGGGTTCCGAATTCACAAGTCCCCAACCTATTGGAAAGGTATTGACATTGATCACTCCATATTCTCTATGTTGTACTTCCTGTCTCTAATAACTTAGTTCATCAGTAATGCTATGATTTTAGTATTCAATATTGAATTGATACTATTAAATGATATTATGTGCGCTTTTCTTCTTTAAGGCCATTATGAACAATCTACCAAAATATCACTTTAAGATCACTCTAGGAAATATCACTCTAGAGGATCCGGACTCCTCAGCTGAAGTAGGGGTTGGGTTCAGCTATTGATCAACCTCTCCCAATCTGAATATTTCCTCTTTAACCTTTTCCTCTTGTGGTGTATCATGATGGCAAATGGACATTTTTTTTTAATACTCTCAGCAATTGAATATGCAAATAAATTTCTTTCAGCTATGTTTAACCAAGAAGTTTTTTGATCTGTTGATTTCTTTTCAAGATTTTATAGGAAAATATATTCTTGTGGAAATTTCTTATTTTGTTTTATTTTCATACATACCCCATGCCGATGTAGTAGGTGCTTTTCTTTTAAAATTGATTTATGATTTTTTTTTTGAGAAATTTTTAAGATAATAAATCCTACGTCATATACCATGGGAACCTTATATTTAAAAAAAAAGTGTCGAGCCCCTACCTTTTCACTTCTAATTGCGTGGCAAATTTCTCAAGTTCCCACTTGACTATGGCTACTCTCTCTCCCCCACCTTGTATCTTGCATCTCTGTAGATTTCAACGTAGAATGTGGGCTCTAAGCAGCTTTTGTAGATTTGATCTTGGTAATTCAACCATCCACTCTCACTCTTCAAGATCCTATGCCTCCCTAAACTCCATGTGTGTACTTGAGAACAACTATTATAGTTATAATCATTGCTTTATGATCTTACTCTTACACCAAATAGCAATATTTTGTTCTTCGTTTTGCTTTGGGGAATTCAGAGCTTTTTTTATCCTTAAATGTTATGAGAATATTTTAGTAAAACAAAAGAGACTTTTTAATTAAAAACCAATTCTATCCAAGTTTAATGCTTTAAGAAGGGACTTCAAATGGAATTTTAATCTATCCAAACCCAATTTAATTTTTTGAATTCTGTCTATTCCACAAGATCAAACTATATTCCGGTAAAATCCATCCACCCCTAACACAAGCTTTATTGTCAGCATTCTGAATGTAGCAAGAACATAAAAAATAAGAAGACAGTTATCGAAAAAAATGACAATTAATTATAGATTAATTTGCTTTAAATGCAGGCCTTTGAGGAAGCCATTGCTGAGCTGGACACTTTGGGAGTGGAGTCTTACAAGGACAGCACTCTTATCATGCAACTACTAAGGGACAATCTCACTCTTTGGACTTCAGATATGCAGGTCAGTTCATCTTATTATGATTATGTAGGATTTATTCATTTTAAAAAGGACTTTTTGGTATACGATTTAGGTTTTCAGGGTAAAGAAGTTTTATTTTGCAGTTTTACTTATTTTGGTTTACAACGATAGAAATCGATGTAGAGATATGAGTATATAGGCTGAAAGTTTCATCATGGGAATTTCACAATTGAAAATGAAAATAGAGACACTACAGGAAATTTAGCTTTTAGCGGCGCTTAAAAAACGCCGCTATAAATGTCAAAAACGCCGCTAATTCTTTTTGCAACGCTTAACATCAAGCGCCGAGGACGCGGCCGTCGCTATAACTTCCGCTAATATTTTGAGTTTTAAGTGGCGTTTTTAAAAAACACCGTGATATGTCCCTTTTTTTTCTGAAATTGTGCTAATTTATGTGATTAAACTAAAAAAATACATATAATAAAAATGAATAACACTAATATGAAATAATAACTTACATTCAAATAGCAAATGCATCATTAATTCACTTTCTCATTCACCAATTATCCACAAAATAACATATCCACAAATGATATTTTAATATTACCCCCAAAATAACATATCGAAAAATTGTATTCACAATTCTCAACCAAAAAATTAATTACTACTTTGTATAAAAAGCCACAAAATTGCTATCAGTCAAAATATGTTACATATAAGAGGACTAAATTTCCAATAGAAATCTTATATAGTAAGTTTTTTGAGTGAATACAGTCTCGTATCCAGAATACAAAATTGCTATCATTTGATCAATTATCTCTTCATCTGTTAGATTATATAGGTTTTCTTCACCACCATTCATTAGGAGACCAAGCATGTCATGTTTGGTTTCTTGGCAAGCTCTTCTTTCCTCTACAAGTCGTCTCAGCATGCTACAGATAAGATCAATAAAACATTCCATATCTTCAAAACTAGAAAGGTGCCATCATCATTATTTCACATAAATTTATGAGCACACATCAGCAGCATGAAAAGTTCAAAAAACTATTGCATTCAGCAGCACTGTCACATATGTTTGACTGCTCAAGCAGGTGCTGGTAACCAACTCATGTTGTTCAATGCTAAAACAATTTAACGGGAAAGAAACTAACTTTCATTTAGTGTTGTTGTTTCACTGAATGTTCAGAATCGTATGTAATAAAAACAAAAGCATACAGTAGGGAGAGAATCACCTGTTGTTTGAACTTTCCATTGTGAAGTTGTTGGCCACTAAATTACTACATATTACACCCCAGCAAATCTCAATGTCAGTTTCAGTTTCAAGGGTACAAGTCAATGTAGAAACTGTCAGTTTCAATTTTAGTTTCAAGGGTACTAGGATTGTTGCCTTGCCTATTACATAATTTTCTTGCACGCATAGCAGGGTTGTTTAAAAAATATGTTGCTGTTGATAAAAATCAAATGGCAAAAATGATTAATCTCTGATGAATTGCAACTTAAAAAAAGAATGACAACTAATTCAATTGATGAAGAAAGATACAAGCAGCATATTTTCCACCCTATTAAGAATGTATAATATCATGTTGCATGATTATATAAAGAGATTACCATGAAGAACCACACTGCATGAAGTAGTGGCTAAGATTGATTAATAATGGACAAAAAAAATCTTAAAACTTTATTTACTCCATAAGGGGAAAAATTATCCTTTAAACCCTAGGACTTGCAATTACGACTTTGTTGCTAGGTTGTAAACAGAAAACTTTTTGAAGGGTCTTTATTCTTTTAAGAGTTTTCCCAACTTTGTTATCCTGATTTAGAGCCACAATACATTGAAAACAAAGATAATAAATAAATCAATGTAAAGGCTGGTTAACACATTCAGTATACCGCATCTACTTATTGAAACCAGATTACAGACTGCTAGAATTTAAAAGTGAAGATTTAAGCACAAATACTCTTAACACAAGCTAACTCAGATTAATCATATGGAACAAAAGAATTGAGACAAATTACCTGCAAGGCCCTCCCATACATCCGACGTTTCCGAAGGTTGAGCATGGCCAAGGCTATCTCAGGTCGATTCAAGTCATTTCCCTCCTCAACCCACTTATCCAAAGCACTTTGAACAGACAAACCTGGAGCAGCCATGATAGCCTTGAACAATGCCGAAGAAGCTCTCATTTGTGGAGGTCTTTTCTCAGTTACTTCTGCCTCAATATCAAATAATTCCAGCTCATTTTGAGGTTCTTCTACACCATCACCATCATCTTCTTCTTCAGAGAGCTCTGGTTCGGAAATCAATTGATCTTCGTTTAAATCGTCAACATTGCTGTCTTGAACCACATCAGCAGCACTAGCTGCAGTCTCAAGCTCAGAAAACCCATCCTCCAAATCATCTTCTTCTTGTGCACTGCTTTTTGTGTCAGCCTGTGAAGAAAAACGGCAACACCCCATAAAAAAATTTGGGGAACCATGTGCTGCACTGTAAAATCTCTTCAAAGAGATGCATCCATCAGATGCTACTAGGCGAGAATCAACATTACTGGCTTTGACATCTAAACAACAACTTGCTACTTCTGATTTAGCACAACAAGCTCTAGAAGTTCCGATGCCAAGCACTCGATTCCTGAATGCAGTCAATGAAAGCAATTATGAAACCAAAACATGAATCAGTAACAGGCATGCAACCAATATTCAAAATTGCATTAATTTATTGTTTGTAAATTATATGTACGTATCATATCCATTCCTTTTTGTCTCTTTTTCAAGAGACTATCCACATAAATGCCTCACCAAGAAAAACAACAAATTACCTATTACTTCGACAAAATATATAAATTTGGTTAATATAATTATCCATTAAAAGCGTTAAAAAGGGTGCAACCTTTATTGAGCAAATCAGCAGTTAAATTGAATGCATTAAATGCAACAGTTTACCACACACAATTCAATTTTATTCAATTTTTTTATTCGCTTTCGACAGAAAATTAGTTTACAATAGCACAAACACATGTATGTATGTATGTATGTATGAAAGAGTTCCCAAAAAAAAAAAAAAACCATTGTAGTGCTCAACTGGCTGGACATCCGGAGGGATGTTCGGGGGATGTCCCATAGACTCAAAAAATTCAAAAACTGTATGAAAAGGAAAGAGTTTTGCATTGGAACTTTGTTTTGGAATGAGCTCTGCCAAACGTGAAATAGAAATGTATTTTGAAATGTGTGGTGAAATTAATTTTTGAAAAGCCCATCCAAACACCTTGTTCACGTGAAGAGGTGAAATTGTAATTGAAAAGCTATACCAAACACAGCCTTAGTTTCTCGCAATTATACCAATGTCATTGTGGAATGTTAATCCATCCATAATCGCGATCAACGGTTGTTAGCCCTCCTTTTAAGTAGCTCAATTCCTGTTTAGAGAGAAACATGAGATTGGGGGGAAGGTTTTTTTTTTTTTTTATTCTTTGAATTGATTAAAACTAAGCATATTTGGAAAAACTGAGAACAAAAAATTGTTAGTACCTTTTCGCGGTACCAAGGAAGCTTTTGTTCATAGCCATGGTGATGCAAGTAAGTAACGGTGTCATAAACAACTAGATAGACAGATTCTCACCAAATATATAGGGTATGCAAACATGGGGAATGGAACTTTAAATCTTAGGATTTTGGTAGATTCATCCAAAGTCTTGTATATCTTCTCAGGCAACTGTAACCATAAGAGTAATTAATTAAATACTAGCATATATGAAACATTGGAACCATAAAAATATATATATATATATATATAGAAATGCTAAACAGACCTTGTCAACCCCAATCAAGGCATTCCCTTCCATCTCCTTTGATGAGGCCTTCGGTGAAGAACTGACCATGCTAAGTCCACCCTCTTTATCTGCGAACAGTTGTAACAATCTTTGATAATCTTTGACCATATCGCCTTACAAGAGATTCAAAGACTTCATATCCTTAAGAAATGCCAATGAAGAACTTCCACTAGATAAATCACTTATTCTCCTAGATGAGCATGGGTATATTATAAAAGAGCAGATTAGCTTTATTGATATGCTAATATGAACAAAAGCTGTTGAAAGAGTTAATGCTCACAAGTCCTCCATCAAGGTTAAGTTGGAAAATGTTGTTGGTATTGGACCTCCAAAGGAGTTTCCCTGAAATCTCCTACACACAATAAAATAAAATAAAACAAATAAAAGAAAAAAAAAGAAAAAGAAAAGTGAAGTGAAGTGGATTGCTGAAGAGTGTTATACATCTCAGTTACTACACATTGCTATTTTAAAGTAGGGCTATAATTTGAGTGTGATTGTCAAAATAAAGAGAACACAACATAGAAGATTGCACACAAGCTTTTAAGCTTTGACCAATTCCCAATGAATTCAGGTATGCTACCAGTGAGTTCATTGTTTCATGCATTATGCTGAGTGTTCAATTGAAGAAAAAATTCTTCTGTTATTATCAACTGTGCACATCTAATCCTAGAAGGTATTCCAACTTAGGCAAGTCTTTTTTACTAAACTTCTGAAGTCATATCTACTTTTTTTTATCAATGCATCTAAATCTACTGCAGTGTGACTTAATGTTACATCCCAAACTATGTTGAATTATAGGGTTGCACACTACTTTGTGCTATATTCTTGCAGAAATTTGGTAACTGGCAACTAGGTCATATTTAATTCTGCAAGGAAACATAAAGGGAAATATATGTTACCATTTACATCTTCATTGTAGTTTTAAAAAAACAAAAAAAAGAAGCCACAATTCAGATGGGTTTTGCTTTAAGCAATAATGTGCAGTCCTGGAAATTGTGGTGTTGTTTTTTGATCCAATTGTTTCCAAGCATTGGTAATTCTGGCTTTAAAAAAATGGCAAGCAGAAGGATATTTGATACATTTTGTACATGGAAAACCATTCTGCTATTAATCATCTAAAATCAATAAATAACTTCCTTCTGAAATAATAATTATTGACAACAATAAGTACCTGACAGTAACCAAGGTCAAAGTTGTAAAACGAGTATGTCAGCAGTATGTCTCGTAAAAGATTCACATTTGGATTGTCATCCCCATCATAGAATGAAAGTGATCTATCAGTTCTTACCTTGAAAACAAAAGTGAACAATTAAAAGTTTGAATGTAAACAACTTTTTCAATTCATCTAAAGAAAATTAATTCAAAAGGAAAAAAATGAGGCATTTTCCAGCATACCACATCTTCATCAATAAGGCCTTTCCTCTCCATAAATTTTGTAAATCTTTTTGTCTGTTCTGTGGAGATACTATGAAGAAAAGAATATAAGCATGTTAAGCACGTAAAAAGTTTGTTTGAAAGAAACCACAATGTAAATATACATAAACATCAGATGCACATAGTGTCTGCCTTCAGGTTTGAACACAATCAAACTAGAACCTAGAACCTAGCCAAATATCCCCTGTTAATATCTTACACTGAATTCCTACAAATCTAGTAGTCTGTATACCCTGAAAATATAAAAGCTTGAGCAATGCAAACAGATGAGAAGTTTGCTCCAATTTGGATAGCTAGCAACTCCCTCAATTAAACCTTGGTCAAGTTTGGTTAGGAAGCTGTATTGGCTTACTAACCAAACCTGACCTCATATATGACAAGAAAAAGGCACCTATTCAAGTCTACCACAATAATAATCATAAAACTGAATTTCTATATAGCAATTTAACACAGGCAATTCAAGACAATAAATGGAAGAAAATAAATGGTTAGCGTTTATGCATATAGTCCATCACAAACCTTGGCAGCCTTAGCCACAATATCAGGAAGCTCCATAGCAGTAACATCATTTAGTACAGGGAGTGAGTTTGCAACCAGAACAACCTGTAAAAATATCCTTGTTACTCATGGCAAGCACGGAGATAACACTGCTAAAGAAAATGTTAAGCCTACAAAGTACAAAGTAACATCCATGGTAGCTATAAAGTTTAGTCCTAAGAAGTTTCTTTGTTTCAGGCTCACACCCTAATCAACTAGGCACAACCTGAAAATCCAATACGATGTATATCACATAATAGCCATTTATCATACATTTACTAGTCATTTCATACGATAAAGTAAAAAATGTCAAATATGTTGTACAATAGTGTAATGCAATCCTAAGATCCTAATTGCATATCATATGATTTTGACAACAGTAATGCGGTAACATCGATCATTTGAACAGCTAGATATGCAATCCATTGCAAAACAATCGTATCAACTTTTTTTTGGGTAAGTAACAATCGCATCAACTTTCATCAATCATAATGCATCTATATGTCTCCATATCCTCCTTCTCTGTCTCCTCCTGAAGGGGGTGGGGGGCAGGGGAGAGATGGGTGAATCACATCTTCATGACCCCATTCTCGCAATTACCAATAAACCTTTATTAAATCAGACTTCACAAAGTGGAGAGAAGCATTCCTAGATTAGGGTTACTATTAATATAAACTTCAATTAAAAATATTCAGAACCATTTCATTAACACTACTGAGAAAACACTTACTTCAGTTCCCCGCCGGAGGAGTTCCCGTGCTAGTGGAAGCATTCCCAGGATCACATCAACACCTGAGTTGTCCACAAAGAGTAGTGCTCTTTTATGTGGTGGAGGTTTCTTGTCTCCAGACCCTAACATTCTCTCCTTAAAAAGATCAAAATCATCCACCTAAAATACACAAACAAAAACCTTCTAATGATTATCCAACAATTACTTTGAAGGAAAGATATTCTATTTTTCCAATAATTTTTCCCAAAAGAATTTTATTTTCAGTTCACCTACTCGCCATGGTCTTTGCATCTTTTTGCGACTCATTCTATATATTTCAATAATTGTTCCTTTATGATAGAGATCAACACAGGCACGGGATCCCCAATCAAAAATGTTTGCAGCAAGAACACCTTCAATTAGGGTAAGCAGTCTTGTTTCCTGCAATGAAGGAATGCTTCAGACAATCAGTAGAATAATGGTAAGGGGTGAAAAACAATGCAACATATTTCCATTTATTTCAGTGATGGGTCCACCCCAATCTCAACAAAACTTTTGCAAGATTCAAATCTTCACACTTAACAGTTCCAGTAGTTACACAGAGATGCGTAGTGATATAAGAATTTGATTAGATTAAAGAAAGATCACAGTATGCATTTGTTTCCATAATAATGCAGCTTTCGTTTTTCTTCTTCCAATTCAGGGGGGAGGTGAGGAGGGGGAAGGAAAGAACAAGTTTAAAATTTACACATACCTCATTCATTCTATCAATCTCCATTAGCAGGTCAGGAAGAACAACAAGTGATGCCTCATTTTCCCTATCACATGCCAAGAAGAGGAAAATACAGGTTAAATTACCAATGAAAATATAAGAGGCACGTCATTTTGTGGCTAGAAACAAATTGTATGTGGTTAAGAATGACATCACAAACAGGAAGAAACCATATTCAAATAAAAATTAACTCTCCAAATGTGGATGGATACCTTTGTTTTATGCTCCTATAGGCATCAGCAAAATAGAACTCCCTCAAGCAGTCCTCCCTTAGTTCTAAAAGGTTGGCCAGCCCCAACTTTCCATATGCAGCAGGATCCTCCATCAACCTGTTTCACAAAATAGGAGCTTGAAATTGAAAATTTTAATAACTAGAACTCATTTGTGGAGTAGTTCAAAAACTACTTTTCCAGAAAGAATGTCACACGGTAACAACTGCCAAAAGCTTTTCAAGTTTCTTATACTTTCATGGCTTTTGTTCTACAACTATGATCTATGACATCCTTTTAAATGATCAAATAATGCAATTGTCTATCAGTTTGTAGATACCTTGCCAAGTGAGCAAAAAATGCACGAGCAAAAGAATAATATTGGCCAAATAATTATATAGATGTACTACATGGACAAGGCTAAATATACTAGTATTCTCTTCACGAATCAACAGGGATAGACAGACACATTGATAGACATAAACACACACACAGAAATGCATTCAAGAATATGAATATTGCCCAAAGTACAGAAGAAAAAATTACCGATTTAAGCTTGAAATACGAGTAATCGAGGGGTCAGAGTTCAGATCTGGAGCTTCGATGGAGCTTCGAATATCTGAATCTTGGATGGAAATCACTGAATCTTCAACGGAGCTTCGAAATCGGTTCGATCTGGAGCTTTGATGGAGCTTCGAATATCTGAATCTTCACTGGAAATCACTGAATCTTCAACGAAGCTTCGAAATCGGGTCGATCTGAGCTTCGATGGAGCTTTGAATATCTGAATCTTCACTGGAAATCACTGAATCTTCAACGGAGCTTCAAAATCGGTTCGATCTAGAGCTTCGATGGAGCATCGAAATTGCTTCGATGGAGCTTAGAGAGGGTTGAGAGAAAGAGAGAGAGAGAGAGAGAGAGAGAGAGAGAGAGAGAGAGAGGGCTCAGATTCAAAATGATGTATGCGTATGGGTTGAGAGAGGGCCAGATACAAAATAAGGAATGAAAAGGCGCGTGTGGTATACCGCATTCGGAGGCGTTTTTCAACGCCTCCTATTATAAAACGGTGCCGTTTTGGTTAAAAGAATATGCGGCGTTTATAAAACGCCGTTAAATGTTAATAACAGTGACGTTTAAAAAAACGTCGTTAAAAAAACGCCACCATAACCCTTTTTCCCAGTAGTGAGAGTAGCAGGAATATCACTAGAAAAGAAAACGAAAGTGCAAGAATTGCTATCCTCTTCTTGAAGTCTTGAGCAAAACAATGCCAGTGCTCCAACAATGTTATGAAACATTCATATGCAATTAAAAATAAAAATAATTCATATGCAATGTTAATTTTTTTTCGTTACTTAGTCTCATTAACCCTCTTCAGTTCCCAATCGTAGCTCAATTTTTTGGGTGAGCTGGTAGTAATATTAGTTACAAACTTTCGAATACATATCCGAATCATGGTTCAAAAGATTGGTTTTCTAGTTGTCTAAATTTATCTGAAGCTAAGCTATAACTCTGTTGGGGTGATTCATGCAGGATCAAATAGACGAGGCTTGAGCTGATGAACCAGTCTCTCCTCGAGGGAGGTGGGCTTGAAATGTCATAATCTTTTTGTAATTTGCATGTATAAAATTGAACATGTCCTCATATTCATAGTATGCACTGTAATGATTTGCTAATTAAAACTTGCTCTGGTTTCAAAATCCGGATTTCGTGGTTTCTGTTGATGGTTGCTTAAAGTTAGTCTCTGGATTTTTATTTTGTTATCTTGTTGTAAAATAATTTATCTATGCCAAAGTTCAATGAATTCTCTCGCAATAATGCGGTGAAGTAAATTGCTTTCTTCACGATTCAACCACAGATTTACTTTCTTTCTAGCATTTCGACAAAGCAAGTGGTCTCTTTGTTTCTACAATATAAGTCACCGGCTCAACTCATGCCTGGCCTGTCAAACTATTTCCGAGCACCACCTATGGTAAATATTATATGATTGTGAATTGTATTTAACTTGAAAAAGTTTAAACTGTTAAACCAATTGTGGTGATTATAAGAGTTTAAAACTATTGAAAAATGATTTCTTAGTATACTGTTAAAAATCATTCATGGTACATTTTTAATTAGAAAAATCAATATTTTTCTTACATGATACCAATTTGTAATTTATGGATTTTCAATAGGTCAAACACACGATTACTTTTTGTAAGAGAAATTTCTGCAAATAAGAATTATGAAAGCTCAATCTTCCAAGAAAAGAAAATTTTGAAATTAGAGCTTTTCTTTCTTTTCTCTCTTTATCTATCATCAGTTTTGTTTACAACTAGAATTTTTGTATGAGTGTTGTGGGGCACTTTAAATGGCAAATACCAAAGCTGAGCACTCATCATTTTTTTATGGGGAGAGAAAGAAAGGCTCAGACAATCTAAGAGGCCCAAACACCAAGACAAATGAATTCTTCTGTCTTTGCTGAAAACCACATATAGATCATTGATTTTGTTGTGTGTAGGGAACTTAATTAAAAATTAAAAAGGCCCTTTTTATCACCTTTTCAAAATAGGCCTTTGTTGTGTGTACGGAAAAAGCTTCTTTGTCACTCTTGAAAAGAAAACATAGTTGATTTTGGAAACGATTTTGAAAAAGCTTCTTTGTGATACATTAGTTAAAAATGAAGTTTTGATATAATCTCTTCAAATCTTGATCAGGTAAAGCTGATGAATGGATAGAGGAGGAGCTTGATCAAATAGCGGAGGCAGTTGGTTATGGGGCTATTAAGTAAGATCCTCTATCCTCGTTAATTTTTTTACCTGACAATGTTTACTGTGTGTTGCTTGTCCTCCTTTTGTATGTTTTTCTTCTCTTTTCCATCTTAATAAAATCTTTCTTTTGTTGCTGTTAAAAAAAATGTTGGTTGTGTTGCTGTTGTTGGATTTTGTCTTTGTAAACTGACAGTTGCAATGTTTGGGGTAAAACAATGTTAATATATTATATGTGGATGTGGTGTATCCCAAAAAATGTTATGTGACAATTTGTCCTTGCCTCCCAAATTCTTCTTCAAATCTTTAATCTAACTCTTCCTACAAGTCATTTATTCAAAAACACTTTAAATATATGCATTAATATGTTAATGCATATTAAATTATGATTAGGATAGGAAAAAGCACATGAAAATAGTAGTTTTATATTCATCTCAAGTATATAGATGAAATATTTGAGTATTCCTCTAAAGTTATAATAATACTTAATTGTGTAAATTACGTTGATATTTTTTATATTTTGGTCTTTATGCCATTTTGATATTTATAATTTCAGTCTTTATAATTTCAATTGGCTCAATTGACTCAGGATTCATGATTTTGTCTCATTGATTAAGTTGTTAATGTTTTTCGATTGATTAAAATGTAATCGGTGTTATCAATTTGATCAAAATTGACGCAAAATTTAAAATTAATGGTCAAAATCGATCTAATTGAAATTATAGATGCTAAAATTACACAATGAGAAAAATGCAAAGATTATAAATATAATTTTTCAAATGAATTTGAAATCATGAGACGAGAATAAAAATTTATGATTGTATAAAAAATAATGGAGATAAAACTTTATTTGAATGAAAAATATTCAACATGTCAGCTAGGACTATATAGTCTATTGTGACTTACTCTCACTCCTTTTTAATGAAAAATATTTAATATCTCATTTGGCACTCAATCAGCCCACAAGGAATGTTTATGGCTTTACCATAGTTATAGCTAAATACGGCCTAAACTTAGTCGAAATAGGACTTTCAGGAGAGAAAATTCAAAACAGCCCCCGAACTACCGTGTGGCTCACACAGATAGCTTCGCCATAACAAATAGGACATATGAGAACTGACAGAACGTAATTCAGACCCGTAGGTTGGGAGTTAGAGCTGAATACGTCCTAAACTTAGTCGAAAATGGCGTTTCAGGGTGAAAATTCAAAACAGCCCCGAACGACCGTGTGGCTCACATGGACAGTTCCCTCATGACAAATAGGACTTGTAAGAACTGATGGAACGTAATTTGGACCCGTAGGTTGGGAGTTAGAGCCGAATACGCCCTAAACTTAGTCGAAAAAGGGCGTTTCGGGGGCGAAAATTCAAAACAACCCCCGAATATGCCTTACACTTGGTCGAAAAACTTGTAACACTTAGTTAAAAAAGCAACCACTTTATTAAAATAACATCTACATATTCTAATAATTGCCTTTATATATTTATAGGATGAAGAAATTACATATTACATTGTTTGTGTAGTTGTTTGGAATAAATATTGCATGATACATATATATATACTTTCTTTTATTTCCAAGAAGACATTTCTTGAATGTTCTACCTTAAATGCATGTTAAAACATGTTCCATATGGCTGACTGAATTGATATTTTGCAATCAATTCTAATGTTTCGTTTTTTATTTTTCTTTGTAGATGGCTTTGTTGCGTGGACTTGTGGATAATCCATATTGGTTTATGGAGAAGAATTTTCACTGTTGTGTAGAACTAATATAATACTTTTGCCATCCTCGGCTTTTGTGTAGTTCATTATTATTGATACAGAAAACTTTTGGCAATCAACAGATAATGACTGTCGTGGTACATAGATCACCTTATGTCATGTATATACCATTTGTTGGCGTACATATAGGACATTTTGCCATGGTCCATAGAAAACTTTTGTCGTGGTACATATATCACCTTTTGTTGTGATACAGATTACCATGGTAATTTGTGCCATGCCAAATGGTAATTTCACTTGGTAGTAAATGTATTTTTTTGTATACGGAGGGCTTTGATTTTTGTATGATATATTTTGCGTGGAATTATTATTTTAGTTTGGACAATAGTTTATTTGTATGGACTTTGATATTTAATGTTATTTATTTTTGGTATATGGATGCAGATTGTGGAATGATTGATAGTATGTATCATTTTGTTTTTATACGTGTTATAGGTTGCATTATATACAGACAGGTTGTGGAGAAATTATAATTTCGTGATAAAACAAAATATGATGTTTTTGGCGACTAAACAATTAGTAGCTAAAAAGAAATTGGGAAAAGACATTTGGCGACTAAAATATTTGTGGCAAAAAAAAAAGACATTTGGCGACTAAAAGTTTTGTAGCCAAAAAAAAAAAAGGCATTTAGCGACTAAAAGTTTAGTAGCCAAAAAAAAAAATAGACATTTGACGACTAAAACTTTAGTAGCCAAAAGAAAATCAAACATTTGGCAACTAAAATATTTCGTAGCTAAAAACAAAAAATTAAATTATACACACACTTTTGCCCACTAAAATTTTAATAGCAAAAAATGTAGAACTTTAGGCGACGAAATATTTATTAGCCAAAAGAGGAACTCTTTGCCGACTAAACATTTAGTAGCCAAAGATGGGGACTTTCGGCGACTAATTTTTCAGTAGCCAAAAAATGTGGGACTTTAGGCGACTAAAAGTTTTGTCGCCAAAAAGGGTCTAATTTAATTTAATGTCCAACCTTTTAGCGACTAAATATTTAGTCGGCAAATGAATACATTTGGCGACTAAAAATTAGCTTTCCCGACTACTCTTCGGCTACTAATTTTGCGACCAAAAAATTTAGTCGCTAAAGCCCTTCGGTGACCAAAAATTGACTTTTGGTGACTAAACATTTAGTCGCCAAAAGTGAAAATTCTTGTAGTGACATAATTGTTTATAATACCATTGTCAAATAATTTCTAAAAGTTAAACAAACATATCCATGGGTTTCAATTTAAGCAAATAGAGTTCAGAAAATAATTAACGTAATCAAAATATTAATATAATTTATAAAAAGTAGATTGCGTAAAATAATTTATGGTAATCTAAAGCATACGTAAAATGTATTATGGTGAGTTAAGGTATAATACAACTCACCTTAATATTGAGTCTTACTAATTCCTTTCTATTTCCATTAGTTTTGCGGCCCTTCCCTTGCTCTTTATTTTATTTTTTTTTCGTTAGTACTAACTTCACAACACCTCCCCCCTTTTTATACACATGACTAGGAGATGACTCATCTTACACTAATGACCCTAAAGTAATGAATCACCTCCCCCCTAATCCTAAGTGGTACAGATGGCTCCCATTCCTTCTCCTCAGGATATTTGCAAATCTTCGTAATTAGTTGTTGCTTAATTTCCTTAACTAAATCTATACATGCCAATCTTCTCACATTAATCGGTGATTAAATTAACCCCCAAATAAATCTCTTCATCATATATTTGATAATCACAATGGAAAATTAATTTACATAGCATGTATAGCTTATTTATTTTATTATTTTCATTATTATTATTATTATTTTGCCTTCATCTTACATTGACCCTAGTTAATTGTACAATAAATTAAATTATACTTTATCGTTAACCATCATAAAATTAATTATTATTTTTACTATTACAGATTATTATTATTATTCTTATTAATAATCGTGGTTGGTTGTGGTATTAATTAAATATTTAGGGAGTCACACATAATTTGATTGTCCCTTTGAACCTAGATTTTGGGATCTCCAGTCAACTAGGTTGGGTTGCCAGTATGGCGACTTTTAAGTAAGAGGCTTTAATCCCACTCCTCTCAATAAATGATACACTTGCTCTCTAGCTAGCCCTTTAGTCAATGGATCCGCAATATTCTCTCTTGACTTTACTTATTCTATGGAAATTATTCCA